TGAAGCTGACGGGATTTTGGCATGTTTATGTGTTGTGGACTTTATTGAGCTTCAGGACCAACCTCTTTTGTTTATATTAGGCCTGATGTTTCAATTACTCAATCTAACTAGCCTCGTGACCTATTTGAGCGACGTTTCATATTTAGCCCAAACAAGTCCAACTGTTTCAGTAGCTTGAAGATATAATTGTCATAAGATCCACTTACTTTCAACAAGATAATACTACACTTACTCTTAAAGCATGAATGACATTTGATTTTGCATTCATCTTATATTGATGAAAAAAACTATGAGAATAATTGCTAACAAACTTTGTTAAGCAATACAACAAAATTATCAAGATACATTGAATGCTATGTGTATGATATCTACCAAAAAATCACTTATCTAAAAATTAAAAGGTTATGGTTAGAATATATTCTTCTAAAAAAAAATTATTTTTTTCTGTAATAACTAAGCTATTGAAATTTACTATACACATAGTTTTTACAACGAATTTGTGACAATTAAGCATCATTACTATGTTAATATATTTATTTACTATAATTATCAATTGAAAGAATTAAATAGTAAATTCAGTAAGTAAGTAATAGGGTTTTTTTAGATTAAGGAAAATTTTAGATCCCAATGATGCATTTAAATCATTCAATGCTCATGGAAAAGATGAAATTTTTACTACTTTAATGATAGTTTATATTGAGAAGGAAATTGCTAAAAATTTTACCGCAGACATGATAATTAATTATTTTTATGCTATGAAAAATCGATGACCAAAACTTAAAAAAATAAAGATATATATTTATTTTTGTTATATATTTATAAAATTGAATATAAATATACACGCTGAAATATTTATATTAGATTAGTGATACACACACACACATTTAATTTTCCTTCAATTACCAAACACTCCTTCTGTTTTATATATAAGAAAAAAAACTAATCACACAGTTTAAGAAAGTTAGTTAACTATAATAATTATTGCTGAAAATAAAAAAAGTGAATTAAAATGCCTTGTGTTAATCAACATAACCATATATTAATTGTTTCTCGTTAATGTAAATTATGAATGGTGATTTAGAAAAAGTGTAATAAATATTTATTGGAATGGGTGATTTACTTATAAAAAATACAAATCAAAAATTATAGTTTCTCTAACAATAAAAAATAAAGGGAATATGATTTATCATTTCGGCCCCTTTAATATAATTTTTTGGCTCCTCCCTCCCTGCTGTACATGTGCCATGGGAAGGTCCAAAAAGCTATGGGGCTCTGACTGGGCGGAATTCCGGCCGGAAAGATGGTTGATGGTTGAAGGGCCGGCCGGAAGTGCGGAAGGGACGAAGTGGAAATTTGTGGCGATGGCCTCCGGTATGTTTGGGTAAAGAGACGGCGTTCTTGTAGCTATTAGAGTTTAGCCTCCGGTCCTTTGTGTGATTTCGAAAACCTTAAACTGAGATCGATTGTACTCCATTATTCTCTCTGTCCAATACATCGGTAATCAATAAAACTTGTTTATTAATTCATGCTGGCTGGTTCTTGAAGCTCTTTTTTCCCCAGTGACCATTACTCTCTTCTTCCTCCCACTTCTTTACTGAATAGACAATGAAGAAGAAGATTGAAAGGCAAAGTCATGAACCACAGAGAAAGAAGCAGAGAGAGGGAGGGATTGGGGACAAACATGTCATTACACAAAAAAATCCCATTCAAGTCCTTAGAGATTACAAAAATCATTGTCATATTTGACAGTTTCAATTTGTCATTTATATATTTTAAAAATATTTTATTGTCAATTATAATCACAAGGTTCTATCCAAGGCGCTTCCAGCACAATGAGAAGGGGTCTTCATTTTCGTTGACCTAGTCTAACCATATACATGCGTAGCACACGTGAGAACCTTGTTATGATGATAGTGATGATAAACCTAGCTAGTATCCTATATATGCAGCCACTCAGACAATAGTTTTCTTTTGTTATAAATGTTTTATAATAATTTTAAAAAATACGCATTTGTTATTTTATTTGTTGCATGACAAAAATGGAGGAATTTAATTTAAATAAATAAGCGTTACTTATGAGTATTATTAAACTCTTCTATAACATATAAGATCAAGAACAAAGATATTTGTCGAATTTTGTATAAAAAAGATGTTTTCCATACTTATAATCAACCACTAAATAATTAGATAGACTGGGGAAAATAAGCCGAGCACATATGAAATGTGGAATAATTTTCTATTGTCACAAAGTCACACAAATTGGCGAATAAGGTTGATATATTTTTCAGTAGAAATTGATTGCACGTTGAAGATCACTACAAATATATCAAGAGAGGAAAACTACAGATGTCAATTGTGAAGGAGCCCAATCCCAATGTGGCCTAGCTATATGATGGCACTGTTTGTGGTGGCCAAATTTTTCTACCACGTGCATGTTTGGATAATTAAAATAATTAATTTTAAAAGTTGAACCATGATTTTGTGAAAACATTATGAACACTTTTATTATAGGATAAATTGGCTCACTAGCAAAAAAAAAAAAAAATCTTTTGCCTAGAAAATATAGACTAACTTTTTGAAAATTTAAGAGTATGATCGATTTATATTAATATACAAATGGCTTATCATTGATATATAATGAGTTTATCATTAAAAATTTAAAAATTTATAAAGGTTTTATCATTGATATATAATGATATATCACTGATAAATATAATAAATTAACTATAATGTAAATATAATAAATATTGAAATGTTTGTATGGTTTAATCATATAACATGGTTTATATATGCAAAAACCACTTTATTATATGTCAAAATCAGTTATGAACATAAAATTATGATTTTCTTATAAAAAATATCCAAACACCCCTATTCAATAGTGTTTCAATATATTTTCTACAAAATCATAAGTTACTTGATTTCTAATTTTTCTGTTCAATTATACTTAAAATCATTCTTATTAAATTCCTGTGTCACTTTTCTATTTATAGATTACTTTCAAACTGCTAGAAGCTGCGATGATATAACAGAGATGGTGCCTTGATGATGTGAATTAATTAGATAAGAGAAAAGAAATTCAAAAATTTGGATTTGGTGAGTGTATAACTCCACTTACTCAATAAATGTCTCACATGGTGCAATAACAACTATATAATTTAACTGAATGGCTATTAAAAATTTTATCATATAATATTCAAAAAGTATCAAAAATCTCAAATTTTTTTAGTGAAAAAAATATATAAGAGTATTTTTATTGTGACGATTGTTTTTAATTTTTGGAGAGAAATATATTTTAGTAATTTTTAAGTTTAAATTAAATTTAATAATTATAATGAGAGATTTATTGTCTACTTATCAAATTCAAATCAAAGGAAGGAGGAGAGGCAACAACAAGTAGAAACGTAGTCTTAAAAAGAAGGGGAGGGGGTGGAGGAAACAATCGCCCCAAAAATTAAATGCCAAGGTGAATGTTACAGCTTGTGAAGTTTTTGTGACTTGTTCATTCACAAATGAGTTGTTAATTATATATGATTACTTATCCAAAATCAAATCAATGCTTGTTTATGCATTCATAAAATCTTAAAAATAATTAGGTCTTTTATCATAAAATGTTATTTTCATATAGGTAGGGGTGTAATGAAATTTCATATTTTTAAAGTCGTTCTTTAATAAAAAAATTCTTCTGTGGTTCTTAAATGATATTTTACCAAAATTTAAATGCCAAGGCAGATGTCATGGCACGTTGTGGATTTTTCCACTCCCTCACTCCTATGTCCATCCAAGTACTTGGAATTTCGAAGATCAGCTTTATACTTTTCCATGCCGTCTCATTTGAAGAGGAAACAAAACAAATGACCAAGAACCAAATATTATTCATGTTATACCACTTACCGTTGCCCTTCGACGAAATCGCTTACGGATTAGGAACATAGGGATGAGAGTTGAAGAACACACTCATGTACACGCAACCACATACTTCACACAATATTTCCAAAAGGATGGAATCTCCCTAAGTCAAGTCAATTTGTTTCTATATGCATGGAAGATGGAAACAAGGGAAAAGTAAAATGCAAAAAAAAAAAAGGATAATAGTTTTTTATTTAATATTTATAATTATTTTTGTTATTATTTTTAGACTTGTTCTGGATCAGGACCGATAACTCCCAATCAACCACACATTCAAAGTTGATGTATTATTCGAATTTCACTACAAACTAAAAGCACAAAACTACACATAAATATTAGTTATCAAGGAACTAATTACCAAGGGGATGGCTCTAGCAAAAGATGCTAGTTTTTAACAATTGGACGAATTAATGTTTGAATAATTTGGATGAAATAAAAGAACAAGGGTAAAAATTACATACTTAATTTTATATATTTAATATAATTATTTCCAACTAATTAATATTCATAGTTTAAAATTTTCAAAAATTTAAAATATTATTAATATCAAGAATTAGTTAGAGGTAAATCATGGATAAAAAATTGCACACATATTGATTTGATTAGAAATAAATATATTAAATTTTATAAATTTAATATATAAGTTTTCTCTAAAGAACAAATAGAAAACAATTAGAAATTACTCTCAACTTCCCGAATGTGTGAGGTCACGGGAACAGACAGGTGTAAATTATTAGCCCATATGTGAAACATGTAATTTCAAGTCTCTATCAAGTGAAGTGCTGATATTTAGGATCGACTATATCTTCAATAAAATTGTATTCAATAGAAGAATACCTATCTACAATAAAAAACCTGTAATTATATAAAAAAAATTATTATCAACATTAACAAAAAAATAATTACTATCAATACGCAAGTGTGTATCATTAGCTATTTGTACTATTTTTCTTAACTTTCTTTTTAAAAGTCAACCAAAGCTAAGTAATCAAATGGCACAAGCCAAATCCAAATCTTGTAGGGTAAACACTACTTCCCACTTATATAAACAGTACTCAAACCACTGCCGATCTCGGCGTTATAGAATTCAACAAATCACATGATGAGGACACCACAACGAATTTTATGGTTCGTCATGATCCAACTTTTCCTCCAATTTGGCAAGCCTGGTAAAGTTAGCTGAATATTTTATTTATTCATTGGTTCACAGGTTTTTCCTTTAATTATATATATCAAAGCCAACCGTTATATGTGTTCTAGTTTGATAAAATTTGCATGTATCAGTTTTTGCAGACACAGATGATTTCATAAGCATTGACTGCGGAGCCAGCAACGCATACACTGACCCACAAACTAAAATCTCGTATCAGACAGACACAGGCTTTGTAGAAACAGGAACAAATGCTATGGTGGCACCTGATAAAAGATATTACGTAGATTATCCTTATTTTGGGAGGCAATTGCAAACGCTGAGAAGTTTCCCAGATGGCAAAAAGAATTGCTACAGCCTGAAACCGAAACAGGGCAAAGACAACAATTACTTGATAAGAGCTTTCTTCGCATATGGAAATTATGATGGCAAAAATCAGACTCCATCTTTTGACTTGTACTCCGGCGTCAATCACTGGACACCTGTTTATCCTTATCTACATTATCAAGTATTGGAGATAATCCATACTCCCACAACAGACACCATAGACGTTTGCCTTGTCAAGTCTGGAAATGGAATACCTTTCATTTCTACGTTGGAGCTAAGACTCCTCACCAATTCTATTTATCTGACTCCCTCCCCTTCGCAATCACTGTTAATCCTTGAGGGAAGAATTGATGTGGGCTACATTAATTCGACGACTTCAGATGGGTTCAGCAGGTGACTCCAAATTTATATTCTCTGTTTTTTTTAATTGAAATTTATATTCTCTAGCTTCTTGTGTTTGTATGTATTCATTTTATGGATTTTATCTTAGCTTGCTTGCATTCATGTGCTTGCTTAACAAATTATCAGGCCAGAATCAAGATTACTAAGAAGTATTAACGTGTCCACATGTTCTGGGCAAGTCCTTGTCTAACCATTAGCCATATATCTGATATATAAATATTAGATGGGATTATTATATCATATTATATCTTAGCTCATACTATATATGTACACAGCCATCATTGAATACAACGAAAGCACGAAACATTCAGCATTGTGTTTGGCTGGGGTGTTTTGTAGGGGAAGGAGCTCCCCTTCCTTGTTTAGTTGATAAACAATAAAGGGGAAGAATGGGAACTCTTTTGGTTTAAAAATGCGAGAGAGGAGTAAGAAAACAACTCCCATTCCTCGTCTTCAGAGCACCGAAGTGCTCATCGCCCAGAGGAGAATCTGGGCCCCAGATTTTTTTTCAATTTCAATTTTAATTTTTTATTTATAAAAAAAAAATTTATAAATTTTTTTATAAATATATTCATCATCAATCTAGACAATATTAATTTAATTTGGGTGGTTCAATGTTATAATTTTCATAAATTGACTATCTTGATGTACGTTAAACAATTCAGATTCAATATTAAATTTTTATCTGCAAGGTCTAGATTTAATGTTTTTATTTTTATTTTTTATTTTTATTTTTTATTTATTAAAATGAAAAATTATTAAAAAAATAATATTGAATATATATTGTCTATAGTACATCTAGATAGTCAATTTATAAAAATTATAAAATTAAATTGAACCACCCAAATTAAATTAATACTATTCAAATTGACGATGAATATATTTATTAAAAAAATTATAATTTTTTATTTTTATAAAATTAAAATTAAAATTAAAATTGAAAAAAATTTGGGCATGTGCACCTCGTACTGAGCACCGCTCTAATTGAAGGGAAGAGGGTCTTTCCACTTTTTTTCCCTCCACTTCCCTCATCCCCATCATTCATTAATTTTATCATTTAAAAAAATTATTTAATAAAATAATTTGAATGGTGAGGATGGGGGAAGTGGAGGGAAGTGGAGAGAAAAAAATGGAGACCCCCCTCCCCTAATTGAAGCCTTTTGAAAGAGAGAGAAGAGAGAAATTAAACTTGACTAAATTACCCCCATGTTGTTTTGAAAATCCAAAACTATTTATGATATTAAAAAATTTCCCTTCTAACTTATAATAAAATAAGATTTGTTACCAGATAAAATGTAATAAATAATTTATTTATATGTAAAATTTCAATATTTTTTATTGGAATCAAATGAAAGAGGAAAAATGATAGTTAAGTCCCAGAACTTTCAATTAATGACATTTAAGTCCCTAATAAGAATTTTGAAAAAATGAGTTCAAAATATCAATCTAAATAATCACATATTCATGAATTTCAATTATAAATAAAATTTAAATGTCAAATGTAATTCTTAATTGTAACTAGAATTTTTATTTGTAACTGTTTGAATCGATATTTATAACTCATTTTTCTAAAAATTTTATCAGGACCTAACTATTATTAATTTAACATTTTGGGACTTCACTATCATTCTCCCAAAGAAAAAATGAGTTCCTAAAAAAGTTAAAAAAATAAAGGAAATACGTGGAATTTTCTTGCTCTAAAGTTGTTAAAGAATAAAATTAGTAACATAGAAGAGGGAATCATTATCAACGTGCAAGATCTTCATTAGATAAATTATAATATTAATATATTGAATTTTCAAAAAAAAAACGTGATATAAGATGAAAGTATTGACATTTTTAAAATATCAAATTAATAAATTATATTATATTAATAAATAAAAAATAGAACAACTTTAATAAGAGAATGAAATCATCAACTTATTGTTTACTCCCCCCCCCTCCCGGACCAGCCATTCCATCCAATCAAACCAAATAAATAAGAGATCATTTACTCTCCGCCCCTCCCCAGCCCCTCCCTCCCTCCATTATTTCATTTTCCTATTCTCTCCTCTATGCTTAGCTGGATCTAAATTCAGTGTTGGCTTCAAGGCCCAATACTTGCTTTCTTATTTCTCCTTATACACGCATGGAAGCAATTCTCAAATTCATTTATCTAATCATGCAAGCATCTATATAGGTACATGGATGACATCTATGATCGTGTGTGGCGCTATGACCAAGTTTCTAAAGTGGAAGATTGGCAGCCATTCAATAGATCTGTAAATATTGATTGTGGAAGCACAAATGATTCTTATAAATTACCATCGAAAGTGTTGATATCTGCAGCCCAATCATTGAATGGCTCATTTGCTTTAAACTTTAGCGTTTCCGACTGGGGTGGTACATTAGAAAAGTCTTTCACCTTTTATGTCTACTTTCACTTTGCTGAAATTGAGCAGCTTCTCCCAGGGCAAAAAAGAGTAATCGATATTACTCTTAATGATGAAACCATCCTCAAAGAGCCTTTAGCTCTGGAATACTTGAAACCACAGACAGTTTCTGCTGTTACAAATCGAAGTGATATTCCTTTCAGCATAAGTGCAACATTAGAATCCGATGCTCCTCCAATCCTCAATGCATTTGAGATTTATAGATTCGTATCGCCACTAATTTCCCCGACGGACCAAGTAGATGGTATGCACTTTTTAATTCCTAGTTCGACTATTTCCTTATATTCTATCATTTATATGTACGATAATGTGTTTGACTTTGACTTCTGAGGCCCCATTTACTATCGCTAATAATAGTGGATGCCATTCTGGACATCAAAATAACATACAAAATCTCCAAAGTAGATTGGCAAGGTGACCCATGTGTTCCCGAGGAACATGCATGGCAGGGACTTAACTGCAGATATGGCATCGATGAGTCTAACGCAAGAATCACCTCATTGTAAGAGTTCGCTCCTTTAACTTAGAGTAAAAAAGTTAGATCTAATAGAGCAACTTGGTGAAAATGGTTAGGTTATGAAAGTTCCTTGTTGTAGTATATATATATGAACTTTGTGATTAGTTCCACTCATTCTAAATGCTTGAATGTTTGATTCTCAAATGTAAAATTGACTTGACTCAAGATCAATTTGATGTAATGTCAAGTGGATTTGCAATTAATTAAACTTAGCTTTGAGAAAACTTTATAATCACCTCTCTTATAAACATCTGTTGATCATTACTGCAAGCAGAAACTTGAGCACGAGTAGGTTAACAGGACACATAGCTACTTCCTTTTCACACCTTACCGAGTTAGAATCCCTGTAAGTATACAGTAATTAAAGTACAGGAAAAAAAATAATGGTTAATACAAGGAATATATATATATATACATATATCGTTTAAAATATTTCTTTGCTTCTTTTAGGGATTTGTCAGGCAATGATTTATCAGGGTCAATACCAGAATTTCTAGCTGGATTGACAAAGTTGAGAGTTCTGTAAGTATTGATTCATTTAAGTGGACTATGATTCACTACTAGCTAGAGTATATCATGTAAAGAGCTTCCAAGATCACCAAGTGATTATATTTCACATTTTTCTACAGTATTTTAAGTAGCAACAAGCTTGCCGGCTCAATTCCAAAAGCTCTTGAGGACAAACCAGATCTGCAAATAAGGTCTCTAATCCTAATCTATCCTATTGCTCAGTTGTGATTGAAGTTGTCATTGACTCTTTTTTTGTGTTTCCTACGGGAATAAGACTAAAATTAATTGATCAATATCAATTTAATGTGATTAAACTGGACATGTTTCAATGGTGATGGAGCCAATTTTATTTTGGGCAACAGCCCAAAATAAAAAAAAAAATTGTGATTGGTAAATAAAACTCAATACAATTACTAAGTCATTGGTAATTCTAATTTACTTTGACTTATATATCTTTCAGCTTAGATGATAACCCCGGCCTCTGTTCGAGGGATTCATGCAAAAAGCACAAGTTCGTTGTTCCAGTTACTGTAGCTGTTTTAGTGTTGACTGTCATTATCTTGGTTATTTCCCTAGGAATATGGATCTTCAAATTGAAAAAAAAGAAAGGTACGCAACTCCTTATTTTTATTAATATTTGTTCATGTAACTTCTTCCTTAGTAAGTATAGAATGAAATAAAAAAATATAATAAAATAAAATAACAATTTTACTGATGGAAATTATTTTTGTCTTTGTATTTTAAAATAATAAAATAATGCTTTTCAATATTATAAGCATAATGAATGTATACACAAACACAAGTTTCAAACGATCGAAAGAAAGAATCTTCTCTTTCCTACTAAGCTGAAACTAAGATGCCCTCGGACAAGCCCACAGGAAGGTCTAGGCAAGTATGACAAGAATTTACAAGGTCTAGTCAAGTGTTGGCAACTTTAAACAAGTCCATGGCAAGTTTTGACAAGGCCGTGGCAAGTTTGGGCAAGTCCGTGGCAAGTTTGGGCTTGTTCACAAACAAGTCCTGTCACATCCAAACTTACCATGCCCAAGTTCAGGCACATTTAAACTTGTCATGAGCAGGTCAATTACTTATCCTAGGAAGTTTATTCACATCTTGTTTGTTTAATATTTTATTCCTTAGGAAGTAAACATTTATTTTAAAAATAAATATCTTAATATACAACGTTAATGACATAGATATCCTTATTTTTGGTTTAAATATTAAACATATTTCCAGAAATTAATTAAAAAAAACTAGGGAAAAAAACGACTTCCTACGGCCTCCTTCATTGATAACAGTTGGTTTAAAAGGTTTAGCAAAAAGAGTTTGTCCCTCACAACTTGATAAACTAAGGTTTAAATATTTGCTAGGAGAAGTATCCGTGCCCAACCATATTTTGAATAGGATTATTTCCAATTAGAGAGCATACATGGGCAATCAAAAAAACTTGGGTAAACATAATCATTAGTCCCTACAGTTTTACTAGATTTTGTTTTTTTAGTCATTATAGCTTTTTTTTCTATGGTTTTAGTCATTATAGGACTAAAACAATTGAAAATATTGAAACTATAGGGACTTGAGTCACAAATGTCACTCAATCTTGTTGAAACTATCGGAATTGAAAACACTAAAAAAACTATAGGGATTAAAAGTAAAACTTGATGAGACTATAGGAACTGAAATGATTATGTTTCCCCAAAAAAACTTCCAACCTCCTTTCTGGAAAGTTCTAATTCCCCTGAATACTTCCTCATGCTAAGCAACCCCTGGGATGTGACTCTTATCATGGAAATATATTTTATATTCTCGTTTGTGCTAAAATAATAATTGTCTGTAAAATAATTATCTCAATTTATTAGTCACAACCCTTTGAAATAGTAGAGAAAAATATCAAAGTGCTAATGTTCACATTATGTTTTTAATGTTATTTTGCGCAATCTTCGTTTTCCCAATTCATGACACGCACCTGACGTGAAGTTCTGATAATCGTTATTACATTTGCAGTGGATTCTACTGTTTCAACAAAGCAAGAAGCATCTGAATATTCAAGAAATCGTGCCTTTTCTTACTCCGAAATTCTTGAAATCACTGATAACTTTCAAAACTTGATTGGACATGGAGGATTTGGAAAAGTTTATTTTGGAACTCTTAAGAATAATACTCCAGTTGCTGTCAAGTTACTTTCTCAATTATCAATGCAAGGTCATAGAGAATTTCGATCGGAGGTGAAGTCGATAATCTAATAAAAGTGAAATTGTGTATTTGCTTTCTCATGGATGCCTTGTTTTGTGACATATTTATTTGTTCCCTATAATTAAGTTAATTCTCATCTAGATGATAAAGTTAAGTATGATCGATCTTGCAGGTAGAACTTTTGATGGTTGTTCATCATAGACACTTAGTTTCTCTGATAGGGTACTTTGAAGGAAGTGGTGTTAGGGCATTAATTTATGAGTACATGGCCAATTGTGACCTCCACCAACACTTATCAGGTATGAAATCCTCCTTGCAAGAGCTTGCTTTCTTTGTTTTATTTATTATTATTATTATTATTATTATTATTATTATTATTATTATTATTATTATTTTTTTCCCTTTTTGGCTTTTTGGGTTGGAGCTTCTATGTACAAGCTGCATTACTTATAATATATAAATAAAATGTTAAGCTTATGTGTTAATATTTTACGGTAGAGAAGCCTTGCATGCATTAATTTCAACGCTTCAGTGTTTTGCATATGAACAAGTAGACTTATTCGCTTCAATGCATATGTTTTATTTAAATATGGAGCTAAATGAAAGTTTTTTCTATTTTTAGAAAAATTAGTAATCCATTAATTTCTTCGTTGATAACCTTTTGACGGTATATAAAAATATAAATCCAATTATTATTTTGTTGGGTGGAATAAATCTAATTATTTTAGTTATACAGGTAACAAGGCTGGTGCTTTGAAATGGAAGGACAGGCTTCAAATTGCAGTGGACGCAGCACATGGTAAACAAATTAAACCAACTTTGTTAACCTTTTATATCCAAAATGAAAACTCTTATGAGATATATGATGGGATTCTTTAAAGTTGTGAAGGAAAAATTACATATTTTAACTAAATTATAATTTTTAAAATTATATGAAAGTACATAAATAACATTTAGATAAAAAATAATTTTTAAATGACTTAAACAAATAAAACTTTAATTTCATTCTTTTCTTACAAATTAATATTTACTCATAGGGTAAACTACAGAATGGAGCCATTATTCTATTTATACAAGAATGGATAACAATAATAAATAATTTATTTTGTTATACATATTTATGTATGCATATGTGTATATATGCTAAATGGAGTTGCAGGATTAGACTATTTGCATAATGGTTGTAAACCTGCAATAGTTCATAGAGACCTAAAGGCTTCCAACATTCTGCTGGATAAAAATATGGAATCTAAGATTGCTGACTTTGGGTTGTCTAGAGCTTTTGCAAATGATATTGACAGTCATGTGTCAACTCGCCCTGCTGGAACATTTGGATATCTTGATCCTGAGTAAGTATTTTTATTTATAGTGTATATATATATATACACATGTGCACTTTGCGTGCATTTTTTTACATTAAGAATGCCTAAATATTTAACTTGAAGCTGCTTACAAGAAATGGGCATGTATGGATCTTACACTCACATGCATCATGCTAATATTTCCATAATAAAATTAAACCATTCAAATTGTATTGTATTCTTTTTAAAATATTTGAAAATTTTTATTTTTTTTAATAGGTGCAGAATGGAAAATAAAATGATTTTCTAAGTGCTACATTTTAAAGAAAGAATATTTAACTTACAAAATTAATTTGGATGGTCTAAATGCCACATCAAGGATGAGACGACCACTAAATTGGGAGGCAAACTGAAAACCAATGTAAGAATGAACACAATTGAATTAATTGGAAGACATATTAAACTCATTTTGCAGTGTGGCTCATCAGATTTTTTTTTCTTTCTTTGTAGTATGACATCAAAGATTTATTAATCCACCTCAAACTGAGGTTTTAGTTTGGAAGAAATCTTAATTGATGTGATATTTAATTATAAGAATCATGAATGATATTTATTCTTATATCTTGTTTTTCTAATATTTTCTCACTGTTTAATCTATACCAAGTAATGCATGGGACACAATTCTAGTTGAGAAGAAAATTCTCTTCCCGAATAAAGCTTATGAAGAGCCTTTTTTTATTATTATTATTATTTCCCAAGGTCTCACCTTTATAGTTTTCTTTTCTTTGATTTTTACAGATTTCAAAATTCTGGAAACCTTACGAAAGGAAGTGATGTTTATAGTTTTGGAATTATTTTGTTAGAGCTAATTACTGGAAAACCAGCGGCGAAAAGACAACCAGACCATACGTTTAGTCTCCTACTTCAATGGGTCACTCTTAGACTTGGTGGCAAGGATATTGAGTCCATCATTGATCCAGGGTTACAAGGACAATATAGTTCTGATTCTGCTTGGAAATTTCTAGAGATAGCCGTATCATGCACTGCACCATCTGCAATTCAAAGGCCTGATATAAGTCAAGTAGTGTTTGAACTAAGGGAATGCTTGGCAATGGAAATAAGCTTGGGAAAGATCACTAGCCACAACACCAATAGTTCAAGCAATTCCATGGATATGAGCACCTCGAAATTTGATTCGGGCTTTAGTACTCTGTCTGGTAGATAGATAATTTGCTTATAATTTGAATCCAATCTCTCTGAAGTGATAGATCTGTCTAGTACCACTATTTCAAATTAGTTTGGATAAGCTTCTTTCTGTTGAATACAAGGCGTGTTGTATGTTGAACAATACATAGGTGGTACTTTCATGTGTATGGAAACGCAAAACATAAGACACAATTGGTTCCAAGAATCTTATGATGCACTTGAATTAACAAGGATTTGGATTTAAATTAAATTTCTCATTTAGATATACAAAAATTTGTAAATCCATTTCTTATTATAATTTCTTTATAATTTCAAATTCCTTATAAACTCTAGTCATTTGAAATTTTAATTACTTTAAACATTTTGTTCGCATTTTCACTATGAACACCTCTATGACTTTCGTATAATTTCTCATCTCTTGTTGATTAAAAAATAAAAATAAATTTGTTAATGTCCCTAATTATTCATTTTTTGTTTTGAATCTCAACTTATTTCATTACCCAAAAAAGGATTTTAAATATACGGGCATTAAATATAAGATAAAATGCCAAACTCCAGCATACTAACTTGGTAAGACTTTATGGGCTTTGCATTGAAGGGGAAGAAAAGATGCTAATATACGAATATATGCCCAATACAAGTTTGGACTTCTATATTTTTGGTATGAATATTTTTGCATCTCAATTCAAATATGTTGATGCTTTTCTTTTAAAATGGCTATGTCATAACATGTTCTAAATATATTGATATAGATCAGGATAATAGGATTGTATTGGATTGGAACAAACGACTCAATATTATTCAAGGCATAGCTCAAGGACTTGTTTATTTACATAAATATTCAAGAATAAAGGTGATTCATCGGGATTTAAGGCCAAGTAATATATTACTTGATCACCAGATGTGTCCAAAGATATCTGATTTTAGCATGGCAGGAATATTTGCACTGAAAGAATTTGATCAAGAAAATACAAACAGGGTGGTTGGAACACAGTAAGTTGAAATTCTTGTTTTTCCAATTCAAATTCAATTTTTTATATAAATTGATTGTAGATCTAATTTCTTTCCTTTCATTTTATTGATTATTATTTCAGTGGTTACATGTCTTCAGAATATATGCTCAATGGCGTTGTCTCCGTGAAAACTGACATTTTTAGTTTTGGTGTATTGATACTTGAGATTATTAGTGGCAAGAAGAATATTGGTTGTTTAAATTCTGAAGTTTTGCTAAATCTCACAGGATATGTAAGTATCATTTAAAAAAAAATTCTTGGAAAAATTAATCATTCCATCCTTATAATTTTGATTCAATTATAACTCAGTCCTTAAACTTTGACTTGTTATAATTTGATCTTTAAAGTTTTGACTTGATTGTAATTCAGTCCCTAAATTTTGACTCTCACAATTCATTCCCTTCACCCACTTAAATATTGGTCTCTATATCTTAAAAAATAAAATTATAAAGATTAAAATTGTGTTAAAATTCATTACTAATATTTCATATTACTAAACCCTTTTAATCTTTATAAATATTAAAAGTTTAAAATATTTTTAATCTTTATACTTTTATTTTTTGAAAATATAAGGATCAATATTTAAGTGGTTGAAACTATATAGGGATTAAATTGCAAGTGGCAAAATTCAGGGACTGAGTTATAATAGAGTTAAAACTAGAAGAATTGAGTTACAACGAGTTAAAGTTCAAGAACTGAATTACAACTGGGTTAAAAATATAAGGATTAAATGATTAATTTTTTTAATATTCTTTTATCAAGTATGCATCCTAATTACATAACAAGTTATGGTTGACGATATAATATGAATATGAACATGTCACAGGCATGGAAGTTATGGAATGAAGAAAGAGCCTTACAGCTAGTAGATCCCTTGCTAAGTGGAACATCAAGTGCCGTTGAAATTTTGAGATGCATTCATATTGGTCTCCTTTGTGTGCAAGATCATGCCAAAGACAGACCAGACACGTTAGATGTGGTTTCTTTTCTGTCTAATGAAACCATTCCCCTAGCTGAACCAAAACAACCAGCATTTTTTATGAATGCAATAGAATACAAGGCGACATCACCTAATGATATAGTAGAAAATTGTTCTATTTATAATGTTACAGTTTCTGATATGAATGGCAGATAAATTATGCACGAATTAAACTACCCAAACTGTTAATATGTAGTGTACGGATAATAGACTTGCATGTTAGTGTTATATATGTTTGGAAAATTGATGCAAACAAGAATGAAATGGCATTACAAGTGCACAGATCGGATGTGTAATATATAACAGTGCATCAAGGCCATTCCTATGAAAAACCAATTAAAATAGTGATTAGGCGTTAGAGTTTTCATTTTTCATTCAAGTTAAGAAATATAACAATGTGCCAAGTATATGTCTATTCATTTCTTGTTAAGTTTTGACCCCAAAATTAACAAAGACGGATATAATTATTTATTTGCATTTTATGTATAACCTTGGAGGTAGGTTATAACTAGTCATAATGGAGGTAGGTTATAAGTTATCATAGCTCTTGAAACAACAAGTTGAAACAGTTATACAAAGAGAAAAGGAATAAGAAAAGCTTAACGGAAGCAATTTTTGTCAAAAATAGCAAGTCCCCAACGCTTCTCAAGCTTAACACCTCTCAACTCTTCCTGGATGTGTGGCAGCTGAAGAATGACGAACTCCTTCAAAAAGAATCCTTCCAGAACCCCTAGAAACACCTCTATTAGTGAAGTTGTGCATTTTGCAAGAAACAACCTATTGTTGTAGTAACTCACCCCTGTTTCTGCAGTAACATTGTGCAGAAATTACTTTGTTGTGGGATTCATAACTTTTAGCTTTTGTTGCCATAAATTGAGCCTCCTTACATGCATAAAATTCAAAATTAATGTCATATATATATTTGGTCCAATGGCTTTTAAAAATATCTTGAAACCTATCCATATTCCTCCTCATAGATATTCATTCACTTAATCTATGTTTTTTTGCAAATATACTCAACAAGACGACTTTCAATTGAATTAAAAAGTACAGTAAATTTAGTAAAATGTTGGAAGTGATCATCATCCACTATCTACCTCTTTGAGACAAGGACACACATATCGAGCAATTAGTGAAAAAATTTTCATGCATATATTAGGTGGACAATTATTGATCAATCTAGCTGTACATTCTGCTGCTTGTTTTACTCAAGAGCGAGTAAAAATCTAAGTTTGGGGGCGTGCTACATCTAGAATTTTATGTTATCTCAACATATTTTCGTTAGATTTTATTATATTTTTGCACAATTTTACATATTTTAAATGCTCAAATTAAAAAAATATGCATTTATATGTTGGGTTTGCACACAACTTATTTTGACATTTTTGGTCTAAATTTATGCTATTTTGGTTTAAGGTTATGTTGGAGGAATTTTTGGTCCTTTGGTCATACTTTTGGAGGGTTTTAAGATGAAGAAATCAAATGCAAAGGTGAACAGTTGTTCTGAATGAGAGAAATGTATAGAACTGATCAAAATCATTATTAAAGTCGCGATTTTATTCATAATTTTTACCATTGACAGCAAAACGAAATGATCAGCTGAAAATGTTTGTGTGGGTATGTGTATTGCATTCTTACTTTGAGACGCCTTGGGAGCTTGGTTATGGTACGCTTGGGGACTTGGAAATTAACGTTTGGAAAATCGATGCACCTAATAAGAATGCTATTCTTACCATCTATCAAACACAATGAAAATGCTCTGTTCAAAACCCTTTCCTCTGTATTAAGCACAGTCTAAATATAATGAAAATGTAAATGTGAGATTTAAGAATCTCTTATAAACGCCATTAATGATTAAGTGCCATGGTGGAAATTAGTGTTTCGGCATGTATGAGTATTCGCCAAGTTTGAGATTACTCCGAAGATTTATTTGTGCAATGTGTTAGTTTACAAGGATAAAAGAGGACTTCCAAGTTGAGCTCAATATAAATGAATTACGAGGTGTGGGAGAGCAAGAAGAATAAAAGCTTCTTTGGTTTTGTTCTCTTTTTAGTTTTTAAAAATTATTTTTGCAAACCAATTTTAAAAATTGTTTTTTAAAATAAAATAAAATAAAAATTTATTTGATTATGTGAATTTGGAAACAGTTTGAGTTAAAAATGGCCAATAATAGTGGTAACTATTAATTAATAGTGATGGCTTATAATAATGTTTGGTTCTAACTGAAGGTAATTCACAATATTCAAATGAAGTGTGATTTAAAAAAAAAAGTGAAAATAAAAATGACAGTTCTAATATACTTCTATTTTCTATTTTCTATTTTTAATTTTTAAAAGAAGATAACGTATTATTTTTTTTAAATAGAAATCAAATAAGCACCATGACTCCCTCTCGTCAATGTTTTTGGATTTTTTAAAAATTAAAATACCAATAAATAACTAAAATATGACAACATATAAAAAGTTTGGAAATGATCAAACTTTGGGTTGTCATGTCAATTTGCTATTCTAGTGTTTTTGATAATGTTACCCTGCCCATCTAGCTTCTCTTTTCTTTTGGGCATCCAAAAAATTCAAGACTAACCCATTTCACTTTCATTTAATATATGGATGGAAAAGTACAAATATAAGTTATAATTTCAAATATCAATTATGGATGAACATAAACAAAGAGAAAAACATGTGATAAATACTTCTTATAGAATTTTTAGTTTTGATTATAAAAAGAAGGAAACATAGCAATCTCTCTTATAATAAAAAAGAGATTGAATAATTATGAAATATTTGCTGAGAAAATACTTACATTTAGCAATCAATCATACTTCAAATAGGATTATTTTTAATAGAAGGATGCATATATGTAATAAAAAACATGTACATATTATCAGCAAATAAATATTATCAATACATTTGTATACCATTAATTAATAGTAATATTTTCCTCAATTATTAAAAATCAAGCAAGCTAATAATCAAGAAGCACAAGCCAAATCAAAATCTCATAGGGTAAACACTACTTCCTACTTGTATAAACAGTACTCAAACCGCTGCTCATCTTGGCTTGAATTTGAGATCTTGAGCTTCAGATGAGTGAGTTCATCTCTATTGTTTTTCTATTACTTCTA